CTGCCTCAGAAGAATTTATGTGTAAAAAATAAATCAATTAATGTTGCACCCATGACTTGACCCTGAAACCTTAAACATAAATTCCAAACACACAACCAACTTGTCTACCACACTCTTGTGACTTGAGTATAATTATAAATATATATAATATTTTCGAGCTCGAGTTGGGTTTCGGGCTTTATCCATATCAACCCAAGCCTAGACCGAATTGAATTTGGGTTCAAAATATATAGCCTAGGCCCAAACCGAAATTAGAAAAATATTGCCCAAGCCCACAAAATTTCGGGCTGGGCTTGGGTTATTTCGAGTTGGGCCCGCCCAAGTTGCAGCCCTACCTGCTCCACATAACATTTTTTAAATTATAATTCGGCTTCAGCAGAATCAACATAGCCATAATATTTTTCAACCTAATAATTTAATAAAACTTTAGCGCAACTATAATAATTTAAAACTTGAATTATATATATATATATATATATATATATATATATATATATATATATATATATATATATTAGGGGTGGCAAAATGGGTCACAACCTATCAACCTGCCCATATCCGCCCGCTTTTTAATGGTTATGGGTGAACCATATTTAAGATCGGTAAAAAATGGGTTGGGAAATTTTTAACCACTTAATTTAAGGGTCAAGATGAGTTGAATATGGTTACCTATATTTCATACATCACATAATTGACATACAACATACATCGATCTATATTGCACTCAACTCATTTTTCTCTCTCTAAAATTCTCTCACTCACAAAAGGCTGCAAATTGGGTTGGCCCAACCCTGCCCAGCCTAGTTCTAATCTAACCTTAACCCAAAAGCGGGTTGGGTTGGGCTAGCCCGAATTCTACCCAAAATGGGATATGTCCATTTCCTTTCCCATGTTTGTAAACATCAAAATTTTTAAGAAAATTTTATTTTTAAAACATCAATATTTTGGGCGGGTCAGTTGGGTTTCACGGGTCATTTTTTTTTTTTTTTTTTTTTTTTTCAAAAATGAAAATTACTTTTTCCTTTTCCATGTTTGTAAACATCAAAATTTTTAAGAAAATTTTATTTTTAAAACATCAATATTTTGCCGCGGGTCGCGTGGGTTTCACAGGTCTTTTTTTATACACATTACATTTTCCTTTTCCATGTTTGTAAATGTAAATGCAAGAAAATATCTCTCCAAATTTCTTCAGAGTTTCATTACATTCTCACCATTCTTCCTCCCTTTTTTTTACCACTCTTGTCTATTTATAGGCAATTACCAGCATTATTGGGATGTTATAACTGATTTCTTATGCTGGGCTCCCAGCTTCAGGCTTCCTTCCTAATGGGCCTGACTTTGCTGGGTAGATCTCATAGGTTTGGCCCATTCTGCAGTGCCTCTATGTGGGCTAAAACCAATTGCTTGATCCGATGCTCCTTTCGCGGGTCATATCCGGATCGTATCTGGCCCATGCTGCCTTTGGTATCCTCAATTGCCCCCATAATTACTCCCTAATAAATTTGGGAGTAATTATCGATGACTGCCAATCATGATTTGACGGCTCAAGGAGATCTCATGGAAAAACGAACGGTTGGATCTGGAACCAACGCCTTGAAATTCGAAATCTTCTCGTTTCCCTGATGCCTTGGTCTTCGGGCCCACTTTGCCTTTATAACCCTCAGAGATGTACTTTCAATTTTTTTTACTGTCTCTACCCTATCTCTCTGTTAATCAAACCGTTGTTCGTCTCTATTGCAAGGCGAGTTAAATCTTCTCCGGCGAATTTTTGCAAGAGCTACTCATTTTTCATCTTCTTGAAGCTTCCTTTGAATCCTTCAATCTCCTTAAGGTCAGTTCTATTTTCCTTTTTCTTTAATCTTATTAAAAGCAAAAACTTTTACTCTTTCTTAGGGTTTCTGCTTTATTTATTTATTTATTTTTTCTCATCATGCCTATTGATCTTGATATCATCCGTATGAAGCTTCATCTTCCTAACGACATACATATTAGAGAATGCCCTGAAGAGGTGAACATTAGGACTGGAGAGGGGCTTCTTCCCGGTGAAGTCCTGTTTTCCCTTCATCAACTAAACATTATCTGATTCCCTGTGCACCCCTTTTTCAACTACGTTTTCAATAAATTGGGGCTCTCTCCTCTGCAAGTGAACCCCAAGTTTCTCAGAGTTATATCCGTTTTACTGCTTTTGAGTCATGACCGAGGTCTAGATCTTGACATTATTAACCTCCTTCTTTGTTATAAGGTCAACAAAATCAGGTTGAACGATTTGTACTACCATTTCTACCCTCTGGAAAAGATGTCAATTTGTACGGACAAACTTAACTCTGAGAAAGGGTGGAAAACGAACATAGTCGGGGTTAGGGGAGCTTGGTCCACTACTGCCGCATAGGATTACCCTATTCCGACCGCCTTTAGCGAGTGTTCGGTTTCTTCGTATAAGAAATACAAAAATCATAAGGCTGATTGTCCTTGTGAAATTTGCGTACCTCACTTCTGCATTTTCTTATGCTATTCCCTAGGCATCCTTAGTAATGACTTGAGCTACGGTGTTTGCAGGGATAGGGTTAATTACCTGAAGAAGTACGTTCTGAACAACGTCCCTTCCTGCTCAGATTTCCTCACTTCAGATAATCTTACTGACATCTCTCTTCTTGGCAAAAGCATGAGTTAGCTTTAGATTCCTTCCTTCGGCAGGAGGAAAAATCCTCCCCAGGTCACTGTTGCTGCTGCGGCAACCTCTTCTCTTGCTTCGGCATCTTCCTCTGCCACTATTTCTAACACTACTCCGAGCGTAGTGGCCGTTGGTCCAACTGTTGACATCCTTCCTACTACCCAGAATGTAGCTCTTCAGGTTAATACCTCTTTTGCTGTCATTGTGGGTGCTCAAGACAAAGAACGAGGCAAAAGGCCTCAACCTGACAGTGAACCCAACCTTGATGACGTCCCTCTGATTCGGACCTCTGGGCCGAACTTACTGCACCGTCCAATCAGACCTACTGCCTCTTTTGGGTCTGCTGCAACCACTACCTTTACCTCTGCTTCTGTAGTGTTACCATGGACTCCTTAGCTCATCCGAACGGATGGGTTAACTGTAAAGTCAAATGAGACCATGTTCAAGGATGGTCGGACCGCTATGGCGTATTACAGGAGCATGTGGACTCCTAAAGACATCGAGGTGGCCAAAGGCCTGTCTCAGAAGGAGGTGTTCAACCGCTTTCTCTTGTTGGCCATTGAGGTAACTCTTTCCTTTCAAATAACAAATCTTTGCATAGTCCTTATACTTGAATTCCTCTGACCATACGCTCGGCTTAATCAGTACTCATGCATATCTTTGCAGACCTTATTCGGGATGATGGCCATGCATAAACAAGTGGAGTTGGCTAATGCTAGGGCTCGTAAGTTCTCTGACAGCCTTGATGTGGCCAATAAGGAGAGCAAAGCTTTAGGCGCCCAGAATGATGAACTGATGGTGCAGCTGAACAAAGTCGATAACGAGAGGGACGTTCTGAAAAAAGGAGACAGACTCCCTTCAAGATGAGAGGGATGCTCTCCAAATTGAGAAGAGCATATGGTAGACTGAACGTGAGTCTCTTTAGGTTGAGAAGGAAGAACTTCATTGCCTACTAAGTGATGAGCAGTCTACGCGGATGGCCTTTGAGAAAAGGGCCTTAGCCGAACGTGATGCCTTACTCAGCACCATTAGTAAGGTGAATGGTGGTATGTTAGCCCTTTATGCACGCTTTTCCAGGATCGGTGCCCTTTGGTATGCAAAGGGATTCCGAGAGGGCTATACCGATCGGGTTCCTACTGAAGGTCAGACTGGCTCTTCTCTAGATGAGGTTGACAAGGAGTTAGAGGTCGATCCCCTAGGAGTTTACGTTGATCCAGACTCCACTCCTGCTGAGCATATTTTTTATGAGTGTCAGGAGATTGTTTCCTCAAGGGTCATTTCTACTCCCTCCACTGCTCTTCCTCTGGACGTTCCTCCCATGTCTTCCATGGTCTCATCTGCCAATACTGCTGAGGAGGGAGGTTTTCAGAACGAAACAATCATTCAGCTTGACTCCCCTCCTCGTGGAGATGGGACTACCAATGATGATGATGGGACAGCTCAGCACCATCAAGAAACCAATGGGGCAGATGCAACTAGTTAGGACCTTTCTTGATGTATCAATTCCCTCATTTGCTTTATATGTACTTTGCCTTTGTAGACTCAAAATGTTATGAATGAAATGAAGGGTTTTTGGCTGAACTTTGTCCACATTTTCTAATATATTATATTTTTAGCTGAACTGGTTTAGTGCTTGACGCTCAGTTGGAATGCCATTTGCCACTTTCACTTTCATTTTTTGGCAAGTTTTTGGCGTTTGGCTAATAGTGCCAGCTGCTACTTACTTTGCTGAAGTGATTGGCGCTCGGCTAGAATGCCACTTGCCATTTTTACTCTTTATTTTTTTGGCAAATTTTTGGCGTTCGGCTTATAGTGCCAGCTGCCACTTACTTTGCTGATTAGTTGGCGCTCGGCTAGAATACCACTTGCCACTGTCACTCTTCAATTTTTGGCAAGTTTTTGGCGTTCGGCTCATAGTGCCAGCTGCTACTTACTTTGCTGAGTGGTTGGCGCTCGGCTATAATGCCACTTGCTACTGTCACTCTTCATTTTTTAGCAAGTTTTTGACGTTTGGCTCACAGTGTCAGCTGCCACTTACTTTGCTGAGTGGTTGGCGCTCGGCTAGAATGCCACTTGCCATTGTCACTCTTCATTTTTTGGCAAGTTTTTGGCGTTCGGCTCATAGTGCCAGTTGCGACTTACTTTGTTGAGTGGTTGGCGCTCGGCTAGAATGCCACTTGCTACTGTCACTCTTCATTTTTTAGCAAGTTTTTGGCGTTCGGCTCATAGTGCCTGTAATATCCCTCGGATTCGAGACATGGGTTGATCAGGCCCAGGCCCAAACCCGAGGGAAATATCAAACAATTAATATGTAATATGAACACAGATGACAAAATGAATTTAAGATTTAAAGTTTAAGCAGAAAGAAACTAAAATAAAATCCTCAAATTTAAAAGATTGAATAATCCAACTTCAAAACCTCCAAGGGTACAACTCGGGAATCCATCTCTAGTGGACCCCTAATAAAAATCCTAAACTGAACGGAAATAAAGAACTGAAGACACAATCTAAATATAATATCTGAAAAGAAGTCCTACGTCGTTGGTAGAATGGAAGATCGTCTCTGCTCAGCCTGAACAAGCCCAAAGACTGGAATCGTCCGATACCTGAAAAATGATAAGTGGGTCAGGCCCACTAGCAAGTTCTATACTACTACAACCCAAGTAGAGATCCGATACGCATGTACATCCTAACCAATCCTAACCAATCCAACAATAACTAAATAGTCCGTAGATATGTATATGTATATAATCACACTACAGGACTCTCACTGGACTACATGCCCGTCTCAACCTAACTAGTAGGCACTATGCAAAACGTACCTGAGGTGGGTATGACTACCTAGACCTAGCAGGGTACACATCTAACCATCATAGTCAGTTATGTATCCCAATGCATATACGCTCCCTAGCCAACGACTCTGAGACTCAGGCTCATATTGTGGCACCATAAAAATATTTTTAAATTCCGTTCCAAACCAGAAGTGTCACTCAACTATTTAGTGATCTGACACAACATACAGGTAGGACTTAACCTTTATAGTTAATCCATCCCTCAATCCAGAGTAGGTAGGACTTAGCATTTTGAGCTAATCCCCCTAGTATGACACCGTCCCATACCGGTGCATACAATCCATCCATCCAGTTGATAATATAAGTGACAGTAAATATCAACATATCCAATCTAAGCATAACAAAAATGTTTAAATAGCATGTTTGTTTAATACATCCTGTATATGATTCCCTGACAAGTTTTAAATACAGAGAATAAATATAACCATCCTGTAACTCACAAGAAACATAATAATAATATTAACAGTAATTGCATGCTTCCTTGTAATACTTCACAACATCCCACAAGTTGACATAAACAATTATTGGTCAACATCGACTAGTTTCTTATTAAGCATTAAGTGAAATTATATTAGTCGACAAGCTTATCCCATATCACTATTTCATGATTTAAACATAAATTTCTTAATTCAATTGCTAAGCTTAAAAACAAACAGCTTGAATTGTCTGCAACAAAGTCGTCACACAAACTTCTTTAAGTGTTGTAAACATCAATTAATTCCCCGTTAAGCATAGCTAACATTATATAATTTGAGATGTTTAATACAATACCACGGTCATATGATTTACACATAAAATTCCTAATTCAATTGCTACCTTTAAAACAAGCAACTTGAATTATCCGCATCACCGTAAAACTAATCACTTCCTAAGAGTCTCCGGCTGTTCCTTGTTTAGCTTCTTATGGTATATTATGAGTTACCATGCCTTCTTAGAATTTATCAAGAGTTTATTCATTACAAAACACCCGTAGAGTCATTCCTAAAACCTTCTAGAACTTCAAAATTCCAAATACAGTAGCCTAGATTCGCAGGGAAAACAAAGAAAATAAAAAAAAAACTGAAAACCTTGGAGGAGCCGGCTCCACACAAAGTGGAGCCGCCTCCAAATAATGGTGGAGCCGCCTCTACTAAATCCTAGAGCCAGCTCCACTTAAGGTGGAGCCGCCTCTACTAAATCCTAGAGCCGGCTCCACTTAAGGTGGAGCCTGCTCTACGTTGTGGTGCACCTGTTCATCCTCTGCGCGTCATCTCTTTCCTCTCCGGCAGTATTAGACTGCTTTGTTCCACCAAACCAACCTCTCTACTGGTTAAAACTAAGTCCCAAGATGCTCTAAAGTTATTTAAATTCATTACTTGCCAACCAAAAACAATTAGAACAAGAATTTACAAAAGCCAAAGAGATTGAACAAGAAGGGAAAACATATATAAGAACAGATACTGTTATGAAACAATATATTTGTGCAACCAAATTAATTTAACTTAAATTCTTCCTGGAACTGAATTAGGGATGCAAAGAGCATAAGCCAAAGAGATTGAGTAAATATAAAACTTGCCTGTGAGATTCGGTTCAAAAATCTCAAAGTCCTTCCTCTAAGTGTTTCCAGAAATCCTTCAGTTTTGTCCCAGACTTCTCTCTACGTTTCTTATTTCCAGTATGCCATGAATAGGGTTTTTAAAACCCTAGGCAGATGTTCATTACATATATTTATAGGTTTTCACAAAACCTTAATCCATGTCTAATTCGGCCCATAAACAAACCTAGGATATACAATGTCGGCTGCTTATGAAAACTATAAACCCCATGAAAATATATTCGCGTTGCCAACTAACTAAAACCAACTAAATGAAATTTAGCTAATCTAATTAAATTTAATTTTAACTTAACACAATTAAATCCATAAGTAAGACAATTAAATAAATTAACTCAATTACATGCAAGTAACCTAAACTAGTAATCAAATGCAGCAATTAAATCCATCACCAATCCAATTAAATTTAAATAAAACAAATTTATTAAACAATTAAAGCCAAAATAAAAACCCAATTAATAAAGTCAAATAATACAAATAATTCAAGTAAGTCAAATAAGTCAATAAAGAATGAAAAATTCAATTAAAACAATAAATTAAATACCAGGACTATCATTTTGAAATTAGGGGTATTACAGTGCCAGCTGCCACTTACTTTGCTGAGTGGTTGGCGCTCGGCTAGAATGCCACTTGCCATTGTCACTCTTCATTTTTTGGCAAGTTTTTGGCGTTCGGCTTATAGTGCCAGCTGCTACTTACTTTGCTGAGTGGTTGGCGCTCGGCTAAAATGCCACTTGCCACTTTCACTCTTCATTTTTTGACAAGTTTTTGGCGTTCGGCTCATAGTACCAGCTGCCACTTACTTTTTCAAACACTCAATTTTTTAGAAGAAGATAGCTCTTTATAGATTTTAACATTTCGTACATTCATACCTACACAATTTGAAAATGAACAATGATAAAATTGGAAATCAACTTTATATTAATAATACCTTTTTAGAGATGTAACATTCCATGGCTTGTTGACCAGCCTTCCAGCCATGGTCTCTAAGGTGTAAGCCCCCTTTCCTATGATTTCTGTAATTTTATATGGGCCTTCCCAATGTGACACCATTTTTTTAACCATTCCTACATTCCTCTTCAGAACCAGATCACCTGGTGCAAAGTCTCTGTGCTTTACCCTTTTGTTATGGCTGTTCATAAGGGTCTGCTGGTAAGATGCGAGCCTTACTGCCGTTGTATCTCTCTTTTCCTCCAACATATCGAGGTTAACCTCAACATACTGTCATTTTGCTCTCGATTCCATGCTAAGCTTCGGACAGTCGGAACCAAGTGCTCGACCGGTATAACTGCCTCGGTACCATATGCCATGGCGAAGGGGCTCTCTCCGGTCGAACGTCTTGGGGTTGTTCAATAAGCCCATAAGACATTCGGCAGTTCATCTAACCATTTTCCTTTCTGATCCTCAAGCTTCTTCTTGATGCAAGCAAAGATTGTTCTATTTGTGATTTGTGCTTGGCCATTTGCCTGCGGATGACTTATTGCTGCCAACTTTTGGTTGATTCCATACTCTTCTAGTAACTCTTTTACTTGCTTACTATCGAGATTAGTTCCATTATCCATGACAACCGACCTTGGAACACCAAAGCGGCAAATAATATTATTCCAAATGAAGTGCCTCACATGAGTTTGGGTTACACTGGGATATGGCTCTACTTCCACCCACTTGGTAAAATAATCGGTTGCTAACAGAACGTACTTGTTCTGTGATCTTGCGGTCGGCAGATGGCCAACCACATCCATCCCCCATTGCGCGAAAGGCCAGGGCGTGGCCATTACGTGTAAATCTTCAGGTGGTTGGTGAATCAGTGGTCCGAACCTTTGGCATTTATCGCATCTTCTAGAGAATTCTTCTGCATCTCGTGACATGTTTGGCAAAAAATACCCCTGCGTCATTGCTTTGTGCGCTAAAGATCTCCCCCCTGAATGATTCCCACATACACCTTCATGAATGGTATATTTCGCTGCATTTGACTTGATTTTCCAAGCTTCATTCCTTTATTTAGTCAGAATGTCATCCCGTATATAAGTCATGATCGGATCTATCCAGCTCGGTTCATATGGAATGACATTCACCTACCAAGGATCTAAGCCTGAAGGTTCTTTGAAGATGGATGGCTGGTTCAATATTCCTACCGGGATCACCCTCGCCAATGTCTCCCCAGAACTCAAAGCACTGCATGCCAACCGATCGGCGTCTTCATTTTGCTCCCTCGATAACTGGAAAAACTTGACATTATCAAAGTTTTTAGCCTCGCGCATGACGGCAGAATGGTATGCCTCCATTGTTTCGTCCTTAGTTTCATATTCATCATTCACTTGCCGAATAACCAACTGTGAGTCACTAAAAGCGGTTAAGTTCCTGACTTTCAGCTCGTTGGCTAACTTGAGTCCCATCAGCAACGCTTCGTACTCTGCTTCATTATTAGTGGCTCGGAATTCAAGTTTGAGCGCTTGACTTAGGAATGTGCCTTCTGGCGTTTGTAGTTTAATCCCAATGCCTGCCCTCATCTGATTTGAGGATCCATCTACGAAGAGTTTCCATGGACAGCTGCGAAGGTCTTCCTCCACATCTTCTAAATCACATTCTAGCATGAAATCAGCCAAGGCTTGCCCTTTGATAGCCGTTTTAGGTTCATACGTTATGTCAAACGAACTTAATTCTATGGCCCACTTCGTCATTCTCCCCGAGAGGTCTGGCTTATGCAGGATCACTCTGATTGGAAAGGCAGTCATAACGACGATATGATGGGATTCAAAATAATGCCTTAGCTTCCTTTTTGCATTTACGAGCGAGAGTATCACTCGTTCGGCCTTTGAATATCTCCGTTCGGCATCAGTCATTATTTTGCTGACATAGAACACTGGGTACTGAGCTCTTTCCTTGCAGTGGATCAGAACAGCACTCGTCGCAATACTAGATACCCCGAGGTACAAAAATAACTTTTCTCCTGGTTCGGGGGCAAACAGGATTGGAGGGCTCTGCATATATTCTTTCAAACTAGTTAGCGCTTGTCGCTGTTCATCCCCCCAGGCCTGTCTCCCATGGCTTTATATGGTATCAAAGAATGGCTTGCAGCGATCCGACAGCTTAGAAATAAACCGGCTCAGTGCAGCTATCTGACCTGTGAGGGCTTGTACTTCTTTAATTGTCTTTGGTTCAGCATTCTTGGTCAGAGCCTCTGCTTGGGCTGGGCTAGCCTCGATTCCTCTATGAATAACCACATGTCCTAGGAATTGACCAGAATTTACGTCGAATGAGCATTTGGTTGGATTAAGCTTCATTCCATATCTTCTCAATACCTCAAACACGTCTTGCAGATGCTTTAAATGGTCAACTCTTCTCTTACTTTTCACCACCATGTCATCAATGTAAGCCTCTACAGTGTTCCCCATTTGATCCTTGAAAATCTTGCTGATCAGCCTCTGATAAGTTGCCTCAGCATTCTTTAATCCGAACGGCATAAGTTTGTAGCAATAGGTCCCTCGTTCGATTACAAAAGAAGTTTTCTCCTCATCAGCTGGGTTCATGGGGATTTGATTGTATATTGAATAAGTATCCAAGAAAGTTAAACATTCGTATCCAGTTGTGGCGTCCACCATTTGATCAATCTTTGGCAGCGGAAAATTATCCTTCGGACAAGCTTTGTTTAAATTAGTGAAATCGATGCATACTCGCCACTTCCCATTCTTCTTTCGCACAACTACAACATTCGAAAGCCAGTCTGGGTAATATACTTCTCTAATGAATCCCGCATCAAGCAACTTATCAACCTCTTCGGCTATGATCTGATTACGCTCTAGAGCGAATCTTCTCTGCCTCTGCCTTACAGGCTTCGCGTTCGGATTGACGTTGAGAAAGTGGCGGGATGCCGAAGGGCTTATTTCGGGCATATCCGAGTGGCTCTAAGCGAACACATCAGCATTTTGAGACAAGAAATCAATTAACTCATGCTTCTCTCCTTTGTCAAGTCTTATTCCCGCTCTGGTCGTTCGTTCTGGTTTGTTATGATCAATCTGCACATCAACAAGGGGTTCTTCAATCAAGTTCCCCAACTCCTCCTCCCCACTTTGGCTGGGTGGAGGCCCCTGTAATTGCTATCTGGGGCTTGCAGAACGGATGGGAGCTTTTACCTTTGCCGCAGATTTTAATGTTACGGAATAACATTCTTTTGCTGCCACCTGATCGCCATGAATATCAATCACTTTAGTTCCGTCTGGCCCTAGACATTGCATGACCTGATGCAGAGTGGAGGGAACACCTTGTACTTTGTGAATCCACCCTCTTCCCATCAGGAGGTTGTAAGAGGGGTGGATCTCAACAACAACAAAATTTTCCGTCAGAACTCTTTCCGCAGCTTGTACTTCCACTTCCACTATACCGATGGGTTCCACCCTCTTGCCATCAAATCCTAACAAGGGGTTTCCAGTGGCCTTGAGCTTTTTCGGCTTGATCTCAAGCCGATCAAATGTGTCATTCGGCAAGACATTCGCACTGCTTCCTGGATTGATCAGAACTTTTCGCACCAGGCACTCTGCCACTATCAAACTGACAACCAATGGATCTTCATGAGGAATTTGAACACACAGCAGATCCGTCCTGTCAAACTTTATCGGTGTTGATATGCTCTGCTGGTGCAGGGCATTCACACTGCCGATCCTCTTCTTCAATTGTGCTTGACGAAGGCGCGTTCGAAGCAGCTCATCTGACTCCTCGCTAGGCTCGTGCCGACCATGAATTGCATTGATTATACAAACTGGCTGTGAGTTATGGGAGCTCGGCTTCTGACTTCTCTTCACTTGCTCTATCGGTCGGTTCTGTTTTACCGCCGGCCTTGAACATAACTTACGAACTCCCTTCTGGCTATCAACATCTCTACCTGTCTCCTTAAGTTCCTGCATTCATTAGTTTGATGGCCAAAGTCAGAATGGAATGCACAATGCTTAGATTGGTCCCTCTGTTCGAAGGGCTGTCTGATTGGTAAAGGAGATCGGAATTTATCTTTATTTTCTTGGTATAACCTTGCTATAGTGACTTTCAATGGAGTAACCATCTCTTCCTCTCTAGGCCTCTTCTCAGATTTCCAGGAGGTCTGACACTGTGGCTGAACCTGCTTTTGCCTGATCTTGGCTTTGGTTTTCTCTTCTGTTGATATGATGGATGTCTTCAGAGCGTTAGCTGCCTCTTCTTCTTCTAAGCACACAAAACCATAAGCTCTTTCATTGAGTTCATCCATAGTCTTCGACGTATTTACTACCAAGATTGTGTGGAATGGAGTGCCACGAGTCATGGCCAATTTAAACGGTTGAACCACCGTAGAAGGATGACATTTAATCACCATGCTCTTTGTAAGGTTAAACCTGGTAAGAAAAGCTTGGAGATGCTTGTCTTCATGTTGCTTCATTGTGAATAGGCTCGAAATGTCCTTTGCTGGACGTTTATTCCCATAGTACTAGCTTATGAACCGATCGCATAAGCTTCAGAAACTATCCACTGAGCCCCTCGGCAGGTTCTTGAACCAATTGAGCGCTGGCCCAGCTAGACTTGTAAGAAAGCATTTGCACATCAAGGAATCATTCTCAGTGTTCAAGGCCATTTTCAACTAGATGTGATATACATGATCAATCGGATTGGTCGTCCCATCAAACAGAATGAAAACGGGCATGGAGAATTTCCTCGGACTCGGAGCATTTAGAATTTCATCGGAAAACGGCGAGTCAACTGTTCGAGCCGCTGAATGGAGGGCTTCATTCTCCCTCTAGAACCCTGCGGTAGCTCTCTGATCTATAGATCTCCTTTCTGAGCTTTGATAACCGAACGTTGCCATGGAAGGCCGATAAGACGGATCGAATGATCTTTCCTCCATAAACTCCTTGTGCCACGGCGGTATAGCTTTGTGGCGATCAAACTCCATTGTTTCTTCTCAGCTGAGCATTTCTTGATATGGATCGAAAGTCATGGCTTCGTTTCGCCTGATCTGTTCACGCCGTGGTTCCACATGAGTTGATCCATCACGATCATCAACACGATAAGGATTTGGCGGCAAATCATTTGGCCAGACCTGCTCGTGGTGAAGATCTGTCTGGTTGTTCCCTACCTCCTTACCGTGATGTGCAGCACCGAGATGTAGAACTTCTTCTCTTGCCGGGAGCGGTCGTAGAATCACCGGAGCTTCTTGACGCTGCATTTCAGTCCTTAACTCTGCATTCTCTCTCCTAAGAGCTTCGATCATGTTCATCAACTCATTAAGTTTCATCTGCTAGACATTCTTTACCGAATTGGAGTTCTCACCCCCAGTCATCATTCCGAAAAGGAGCAAAGGCATGAATTGCAAATTCTAAATTAGATCTGAGTTTCACTATCGCGAATCACGTCAGATCTGGACTCAAATTTTATGAATTACGTTCACCATTTGCTAGATCTGAGTTTTCCCGGCTTTGAACTTATCAGATCGAGCCACAATAGAATGAATCACCACTACGTAAATCTGACTTCAATTTCTCAAAATCAATCAGGAATCAAGAACTTCTCAAGAGCAAACTGCAATCTCTCAGATTTGGATTTAACTTCCAGAAATCGAGCTTCGTCTTCACGAATCAGTCTAAATCAACATGATGTTAATCAAACATGAATCAATCTTTAACGTTTCCCATAGACGGCGCCAATTGTAAATGCGAGAGAATATCTCTCCAAATTTCTTCAGAGTTTCATTACATTCTCACCATTTTTCCTCCCTTTTCTTTACCACTCTTGTCTATTTATAAGCAATTACCAGCATTATTGGGATGTCATAACTGATTTCTTATGCTGGGCTCCCAGCTTCGGGTTTCTTTCCTAATGGGCCTGACTTTGTTAGGTAGATCTCAGAGGTTTGGCCCTTTCTGCAGTGCCTCTATGTGGGCTGAAACCAATTGCTTGATCCGATGCTCCTTTCGCGGGTCATATCTGGATCGTATCCAGCCCATGTCGCCTTTGGTATCCTCAGGACCCTAAGTGTCCGGTTCAGCAAAATTTCCCCTCAGGCTCAGCGCCGGGGAGTAATCCATTTGCTTCGGACCCTAAGTGTCCTGTTCAGCAAAATTTCCCCTTAAGCTCAGCACCGAGGATTTATTCACTTCGGACCCTAAGTGTCCAGCTCAACACACCTCTCTTCAGGTTCAGCGTTTGGGAGTAATCCATTTGCTTCGGACCCTAAGTGTCTGGTTCAGCAAAATTTCCCATTAGGCTTAGCGCCGGGGAGTAATCCATTTGCTTCGGACCCTAAGTGTCCGGTTTAGCAAAATTTCCCCTTAGGCTCAGCACCGAGGATTCATTCGCTTTGGACCCTAAGTGTCCGGCTCAGCATACCTCCTCTCAGGCTTAGCGTCGGGGAGTAATCCATTCGCTTCGGACCCTAAGTGTCCGGTTCAACAAAATTTCCCCTCAGGCTCAACGCTGAAGAGTCATTCGCTATGGACCCTAAGTGTCCGGTTCAGCAAAACTTCCCCTCAGGCTCAGCGCCAAGGAGTCAATTGTCTCAAGCTTTAAATTGCCTAGGACAAATGTCTTGTAGAGGTCATACTCACTAGCTCTAAGCTCAATAGTATGAGCCACAAGGTTGTCCCACATTGAAAAAATACAAAAAGAAACAAGTATATACATATTTACTTCACATAAATCCATTTCAAGAAGGGTTCCCTTGACGGTTAAATCATAAAAGGGAAAAACAATCCTCCGATATCAGGTAAACTGTCAAAGGAGATCCCTTCTTAGCATCTTATTTATTTTTGCTTCGGACTATAACAAATGTGGAACCCTCGGGTAGGGAGCTTTCCTTAAAATGTTCACATTCAACAAAGTGTGTGCTAAAGGTATTAAAGAATATTCAGTCGAAGCAAAATTAATGCGTCACATCCTAAGAAACATAGTTATATTATTCCAAAAAGTGTTTCATTACAAAAAATGAGGTTACATGATCCTACTTCCTCTTCGGATCAAACAAAGCAGATTCAAAAGCGTCCACCATAGCTGGACTCGAAGTTGGAGGAATTGAAGGGCCAGGAGCAACTGCAGGAGTTGGTGCATTGGGAGCCGGAGGGACTTCAGGATGAGCCTTCACCATCTCGACAAAGAGCACTTCAACTTCCTGAGCCTTCGGACTCTCATCATAGGGGAAAGATACCACCATATGAGCATCAAAAGCCTCAGGATCTGTTGTTTTCTTGTCTGAACCTTGATTAAAGCCGGACCTGTAGGCCTTGGCGATAGACAAGCACACTAAACTGGAGTAACGCCCCTGCATTTGCCTCCCTGCAATGATGTAGGTGCTAAGGGCATCGTTCAAACGTTGAACCTCAGCCTCCAGTAACTCCACTTTCGCGTCCGAAGCAGCCAGACGTTTCTTATAAACATCCTTATCTTCGTATGCAATTTGTGCATTCGCAATGGCATGAAATGCCTTCTTCTCAGAATTGTTGAGGTCATTCTCCAGCTTCTGAAGGGAGAAAGATTGAGCCTCAACAGTGGCACAAAGAGCCATGGTGTGATACAGGCCCTGCATCATCAGATAGTAACAATAATGATGTAAGTAAATTGGCGAGATGATTACTAAAATGGAAGAAGAAGGGAGGAGCAAACCTCTATGGTACGAACTGGGGCAGAAGGGAGTAGCTGTTCCAATCCCATTCTACCAATAATCTCTTCATCTTTGGGGAGCCACATTCCCCGAGCAACAGCCAGCGCCGCAGATGGGTCAGTGATCATAGAATAACCGGTATGGAGGACTGATTTGTCAGCCCTCGAGAAAGAAGGAGTCCAAGGTGCCCCAGCCTCAGCCAGGACATAAGCTTTGACCTCCTCTTCAGGATCAGTCTCCTTAGCCTTCTTTCCTTTACTTTTTGGATTGGAAGCACTCTTGGATTTCATGGTTGAAGAAGAAGTCAACCTCGCCTTCTTATGCAGAGGAATTTCATCAATCTCCTTCTCTTATTCATTTGAGTGCAATATAGTCAATGGGGCACTCTCTGCAGCCTTTCTCTTTAAAGCTTCAGCCCTTTGCTTTTCTTCCCTAGTCATTGGGAAGCTATCAAAAGAGGGGAGTAAGAGGTCCATGAGGTTTGCAGTTACGGCTCTAGAAGCAATTGCTTTAAGGTTTGAGGAGATAAGTAAGTCCTCAACAGAAGGAGGCTCTTTCCAAACCTGCTCTTCCAGAAAGGAAAGCCTCTTCTTGGTAGCAGAGGAGGGGAATGTCACTGAAAAATCACCAAGAAACTCATAAATATACCAAAAGAATAAGACTCGACATGGGAAACGGCCAGAACAATCTTTATGAAGAGAGGGGGGATATTCTATACCTAACTTCCCGAACTTGTGTGGGATTGGGAGTTTGCTCGATTGAGGTACGGCCCATCTCCTTTTAACAATTATCATCCTCTCTTTCCACTTCTTTTCAAAAGTAGGGAGGTCTGTACATATCCTCTGGTGCAAGGGAGAGGTAAAATAGAAGCAACCAGGTTTGGTTCCATGCTTAGAAATAGTGTAGTAATCAGCAAGTTAGCCAGAGTCAGGTCAAGACTCTCCAGCCATCAGCGAATTAGGAGTGCCGAGATTATTCGAAGGAAGTTAGGGTTTACTTGTAGGGGTGCAATCCCTAATTTGTTAAAAATTAAATGGTAAAAAGGGTGAAGGGGGAATCTAAGAGCATTGAGATGCCCAACATTTAGTCTTCCTCGACGCCCTCGCCGGCACAAAAATCGGTACCCTTGGGGTATTCTACAATTTCTACCCCCTCGGGAATCTCAAAATCTTCCATTACGGATTCAATGGAAAACTTAATACGACGAATAAATAAAATTACATCTCTTTCTTCCTTAGTAAAAATACTGTCAGACCCAGAGGTGGATGTCTCAGCCTGGATTGGAGAAACATCCGGCTGATTAGCTGAGTCATTTGCAGACCTAAAGAAGTTCGAAACCTTAGGAGGAGGAACCCTAATGAGATTAGGGGAAGACAAGGGTGTGGACTTAGAGTCCACGATTTCTATAAGTTCAAAAGTAGTCGAAGTACTCATAATGCAAAATTGGAATAAGGAGAAGAAAAACTAACCTAGAGATATGAGAATGTGAAGAACGCGAAGGACGAAATAAGCGCAGTGAGAACAAAAGCAAGTCTTGAAGAAGTCCTTGAGTCAGAATAACAATAGACAAAAATGGAAATGCCTCGTGCGAAAAGTGGTAACTGCACAACTTCAATTCTCCTTTAATTAGGAGCCGTAGTCCAATTAAAGAGGAATTGGGGGCAAAATGTGGAAGGAAAAAATCCCCTCTAATAAGATTAGTCCATGTCATCATGGAGGCAGGTCTGTCTTCCAAAAGGCCCATCATGCTCAAGCCCAAAATGAATGTACTCCTAGCCCAGGATTACTGTTATTGGCTCTCTTACCTTTATTCGGGCCAAATCAAGAAAGTGTTTGCCCGATCTGCTTATTTCAAACATCCGGCCCATTATTCAAGCCCATCCGGTTAATGCTGTAGCCAGCCCAGTTATTCAAGAATGAACGAATCCTGCTTGTTGAAGGATTTACCATAAAAGGAGAACTCTGCAATAGAAAGTTCTACACAAAGCAAGTTCTGTGGATGAAAAATTCAACAATGGAAAGAACTCTAATTGTAAAGAATGTCTACATAGAAAGAATTGGATGACAAGTAATGCGAGTCATACCATAACTCTACTACTTTTTATGTATAAATAGAGGCCATGACCTCCAATAAAAGGGGACCAAAAACATAGAAGCAATTCTACGCTTTTTTATACACTGTTCTTACTTGTTTTTATTACTTTTTGAGTGAGTTGTTTTATTTTTCTCAATCATTATTGGTTAAGCGAAATTTTGCACCTACAACTAACAAATGAGATTCTTATCTGTTTAAATTAAAAGTATAAAGAAAGCCATATACCAACAAAATGAGATAATTATTTCTAATAGATGAAAAATTCAATTGATAAACAATATAGAACTAGTAGAACAAGTAAAATAAGTTGAACGAATTTTACCTTTCTTTTTTTCGATTCCACTTATTTCACTTTGTGTTTTTGCTTCTTTTTCAAATGTAAACCCTGCATCATTCAAATTAAGACGCACCATATTAGGAAACTTGATGTTAACACCTTTGATATATTATATAGTTTTGAAGACATAACAAAAATAAGGCACATAACATAGTACACAGATTTCAGGTTGTAACAGATGCAGATGAAAATTTTAATTTTGAAGATGCAGAGAAAGAAAGATTCAAACATTCATAAATCTCAATAGGAGAGAAACTTTTGCTTGTGGGAAAGATTTTGACGAGAAGCATCAAACAGATTTGTTGATCTCTGTCTTAAAAATACTTCTTTATATATTAAGAACCCCCTGTTCTCTGCACTTCCCATATCTCAGTTTGTATTTATACACACACACATATATATATATGAATCAGACGTGATTTTTATTTATACACATCCTTTTAATTGTATTGTTTATGCTGGTGAGATTGTTTTGGGAAAGGCTTTTAACTTTAGGTAATGAGTGATCATTGTAGAAGGAAAAAAGATAATTCAAATTTCAAGAAAAATGTTTACTGATTTCAAATTTCTTGTAAATTGGTGCTTCAATAATGACATTTAGCAAACTTCTGGTCAATAAATCATTTCACATAGAAGGAAATCTTGATAAAAGTACAAAGACTATATAAAGCACACCCAACAAATAAAATTATATATACTGGACAAGAGAAACTATCATAAATGGATTCAACGATCCACCACAATCACAAACAAAACCCTAATCTCAAAAGTTGAAACCCTAGTTTCAACTTTCAAGAAATCAAACTACAGCTTAAAGAGTAACGAGAAATATAGCTCTGAAAAGAAACCCTAATAAGCATTTACATAATATATGGCTATAAATCCTTCAATGTTAATCATGATTTATCTCAGGAATGAAAGACGATTATGGAGGAGAGGTGGAGAGTTATACCTTTGTCGTCCCATGTTCCGATTTCTCTCCAATTTCGGACCATTTTCTTTGGTGAGGAAAAAAGATAATGAAACAAATTTCTCAAACCCAAATTTAATGTCCAGAGACTAAGAGATGGACGATATAGATGTAGTACTGTGGAGAAAGAAAAAGGATGAGATTTTTTCAAAGAAGCAAAAAAAAGAAGATGGAGAAAGTAGAACGAAGATGGAGAAGGCGGTGGGGTTTAGAGAGAGGAGGGGGGCGAATCGAGGGTTTAGAGAGAGAGAATGGGAGGTCTGGTTTTGCAGTTTGGGGGAAATGAGAGAGGAGGAGGGGTTTTATGGTGGTATGTTAACGGCCGTTGTCCGCCGTTATGTAAGCGTCGGTTTGGATCGGTTTCCACGGATTGGGCTGTAAGAAAGAAGACTGAAGAGAAGAGGGAGAAGAGAGAAGACTGAAGAGAAGAGGGAGAAGAGAGAAGACTGAAGAGAAGAGGGGCTGAGGGAGGCGTTGCTTCGAATCTGGTGAACATGGATTGAGAGGTACGGCTGAGGCTGTAGGGTATGTTTGGTAGGGTTGATTTGGAGGGATATGGAGAGAAAAGAAAAGAGAGGATAGTGTAGTGTGTGTTTGGGTAAGTTAAGTGGAGGGATAGGGAGGGATAAGGAGAGATAGTGTAATACCCCGATAATTTTAAAAGATTTATTAATTAGGATTAATTATTTTATTTTATTTTTCAATGATTTATTTTATTTTATTGAGTGCTAGATTAATTATCTTATTTTAATTAAGTTATATTTCGTGATTATGTACGATGATTGATTGTTTGTGTGGTTGATTATTGATTGAATTATTGGTGTGTTGATTTTATTGGTATTATATGACTTAGTTGTAAATTCTTGTTTGTTTATGTGCTTCATGTAATTAGTTATTTTAATTTCTGTATTTAATTAATTATCTTATTTATTTAAATTAATTGGATTGGGCTTAAGGAAAGTTGGACCAAAAGATGTGGTCTTGGACTTGTATGAAACCTTATTGGGTTAATTAATGAAGGTCCGTGGTTATTTAATTATTTAAATGATCACTTTTGTATCAATTATATTTATATATATATATATATATAATTATATATAAATATAATTAATTAATAATTGTTATGGAAAGATATATATATAGATATATATTTATTGATATTTATAAGTATATATGATTTAATTAACTAATGAGTTAATTATGGAAGGAATATATATTTATATATATATATGTTTATAGATATAAATTATTTAAAGATTATTATTTTAATTCATAATACTAGTTGGAATAGGATTTGGAATTTAAGGTGTATAAAAATACACATAAGGCTTTAGGGTTAAAGGTTTTACACGTTAGAAAAATAAAACAGACAGAGAGAGAGGAAGAAGAAGGGCTGACAAGGAGGAGGTCGGATCTGAAAAGGAGGACGTCGGAATTGGAAGAGATAATTAAAGCTTAAAGCGTCGGTTTCGTTTCGAAACCTTCAGGCGAATTTTCTCTAACTTTCCTCTTAGAACTCATAAGGATTTCACCTTGAGTATCAAGGCTTTAATTAAATTTATTTGTTTAAAAATTATGGTTAGATCGGAATAATTAAAAAGTATACACTATTATATTTGATTTTTAGATTATTGGATTTTAATTGATATATATAGGTGTTATGTATATTTTAAAATCAATCTATAGGTGGATTTGTGACCCAAGAGAGTTAATTATGGTTTCTTTATTTTCTAGAATTGTTCTGTAATTTTCTGAAATTTTTCTGATATTTTAAGGAATTTATTAGGATTTATTTTCCTATTATTTGTTAGGAAAATAATTATATATATATATATATATATATATATACTAGGTAACTGGCGCATGTGGAGCGGCGGCACAATAAAGAATTGATCCAGTGCGGCGCGGTGTAGGATAATAGGGTGTATACGCCAATTAGGGCTATTTGATTAATTAAACTTATGTGAATTGATATGGTGCATCGCGGCGCATAAAACTTTGGTGCGCATGTGTATCTGGACCATAGAAGTGGTCTGGTCAACTATGGGATTATTTGGTGTATTGCAGACCATGAGAAGATGGTGCACTCGCTGATCTGGACCTTAGATCTATTATAGTTAATAGAAAATAATCTAGTGTGAGCGTGTTCATTTGCGCACTCATTTATGACCATTTGATGCGGCATAAAGGAAGTGATGGATTCAGTGTGGTGAGCTCACGGTAGCTGAAAGAGCTTAGCCAATACCAGCACACAAGGAGGCTTGAATCCAGCGCGTGCAAGTGCACAGTAAGCACGTGGGCGCGCGTGGGAAACTATGTTGGCCTAATTCGACACTAGAAATTAAAACGGTCATAACTTAGTCATTTTAAATCGAAATTGGGTCATTCTTCAGCTCAAATTCAAGGATTTTTCGTCCTCTTTCCAATGGTACCAATTTCATTATCAGATTCTTATCCTAATAAGATATATTTACGTTTTAGTGAGACGGTGTCGGAAAACTATTTAAACCGGTATGGAGTATTTAAAGGAAATTATTTCTGACATATTTAGTTGCATTAATTTGTGTAAATATAATAAATTAATAATTTGTTATGGAAGGAAGTGTATATATATATATATATATATATATATATATATATATATATATATATAATTATTTATATATATATATATATATATATTCATCCTTCCATACAACTCATAGACAAATTAAACTATATATACCCATATATAAATAATTATATATATATATATATATATATATATATATATATATATATATGTATGTATGTATATATATTGATTTTAAATAATCAAGGATTATTAAAGAAGGTGTTAAACACATATATACATTAAATAACATATGTGTAGGTATATATATATATAAATCATTTAAGATGATTAATATTATCATTCTTATTTGGCATATCTTAATAGGCTGGTTGTTAAATTAATGATATTCGTATAATATGCATGTGATGGCTATGTATGATTTAGCGTATTGTTAATTTTAAAGTTAATTCATGGTTAAAGTGTGGGCATGGATGAATTGTCAAATGATTAAATATATTACCTAAATATTTGTATGAATAGAATGCATATATGGAAAGCATGGATGAATTGCTAATTAAATGTATGAATAAATATACCTGTGGAGGCATGGTTGAATTGCCAATGTATAAATATACATACACGGAGGCATGGTTGAATTGCCAATGTATAAATAAATATACTTATGGAGGCATGGTTGAATTGCCAATATATAAATAAAAATATTTACAATGGCATGGTTGATTTGCCAGAGCATAATTACGTTGTTATGTGTTAGATGATTAAAATATCATCTATGGTTGTTGTATGTATGGATTGGATTAGGGTTAGATATTCTTAAATGAGAATAGTTTAGTACTTACTGGTTAGTGTATTATTTTACATTAATAAAATAATATTGGGGAAGACGTGGATGATTTGTCAAAACTTGGATTTTGGATATGTGATTTAAACAATTAAAATCATTATCGGGTTGGGATTAAATAAAGTATTTCTTTTATTATAATTTGTTGTTTAAATGATTAAACAACTGACTAGGATGGGATTAAGGTCAAAGGAGTTTTTATAAAATGAAATGGTAGATTGGTCTAGGTATGAATATTATTTTAATAATTATTTAATAGGTATGGAAATTTAATAAACCTATCAATGGATGTGATTAGTATAGTATATATAATTATATATAGACATGTATATCGTGCTTTATTAAAGTTAAAACTTTATTAGGTTTGGTTTTAATCAGAGATGATCTGCTTATTGGTTTTCAGAGGCCTGGTAGAGTGAACTTGCTTGTAGGGTTTAACCCACGATTTATTTTTCAGGTTATTAGGGGTTCCAGTCTCGAGGTTGAGGATCCGCAGCTGGGAGACTGTCATTCGTCTATTCATCTTGTGTACTTTTAAATAGTATTGGATTATTGGATAATGTTTTAAGGGGTCCTTGAGTTATGGGATTTCCGAATTGTAATTGTTGGAGAATCATTAAGTAATATTTATTTATTAGTTTTCTTCAGCGGTTTATTTATTCTTTATTATTCATCTTTGTATTCTGTGCTTGTTAAATACTTAAATTGTTTTGATATCCCTTGATTTTGTGCGCGGACTTGATCAATCCGTGTTCCAAAATTAGGGGGTATCACAGTTGGTATCAGAGCACTCCAGGTTCAAGTGTCCCTAGGGTGTCTTTCGTTGTGTGACTTCCGCGTTGTGTACTCTTTTACTTAGAGCTTAAGTTTAGGATTCATTGTATTCTATATTCGGTCCGTTAGTGTGTCCTAATGGTAAATCATTGAGTTTTATCAGGAAAATGGTAAGACACCGATTTAGAAGGTATTGGTAAATCGTTGAGTCTTCCCCTGATTTTGAAGTATGGGTTTTATGAATTTATGCACCAATAAAATAATATGGAGGTATTTTAGGGACGGATTAACGGAATAGTTAAGTCCTACCTATTTATTTATGAATTGTATGATTTAATACACCGGTATGGGACGGTGGCATTTCAGGGACGGATTAACCAAAGAAGTTAAGTCCTACCTATATATTTATAAGGGAACGGATTAACCATAGCGTTAAGTCCTACTTATTCGTGTCAGGTCAACGGAATAGTTGGATGGTATGCCATTGAAATAATATGGTTGGATAGTTTACTTTTATGGGGATATAATGGATTATATATATATACATACACACATACATATATGGGCCATGATATAAGCTTGAGTCTCAGGATCAGTGGTTAGGATGGAGGCGTATATTGCCGATTGAGATGGGTAGCTGGGTTTAAGGATGTGTGGGCTCTGATAGAAGGAGGACTCATAACCACCTTTGTGTGCGTTTTACATGAGATACCCATTATCCGGTTGAAACTGCTTTAGTCCAGTGAGAGTCTCTAGTGTGTACTTATATTTATTAATTATATAAATATGGAATTAGCTAATTACGTGATGTGTCTGCTAGTAATGAATATGTGTGAATGGGTTAATTTCCACACGGATAAAAGGAATAATGAAATTTGAAATTAAATAATCAAAGTTTTTATTTCATGGATTTGTGAATTCCGAGGACGGAATTCTGTTTGTTAGGGGGGAAGAATGTAATACCCCGATAATTTTAAAAGATTTATTAATTAGGATTAATTATTTTATTTTATTTTTCAATGATTTATTTTATTTTATTGAGTGCTAGATTAATTATCTTATTTTAATTAAGTTATATTTCGTGATTATGTACGATGATTGATTGTTTGTGTGGTTGATTATTGATTGAATTATTGGTGTGTTGATTTTATTGGTATTATATGACTTAGTTGTAAATTCTTGTTTGTTTATGTGCTTCATGTAAATTTCTGTATTTAATTAATTATCTTATTTATTTAAATTAATTGGATTGGGCTTAAGGAAAGTTGGACCAAAAGATGTGGTCTTGGGCTTGTATGAAACCTTATTGGGTTAATTAATGAAGGTCCGTGGTTA